AAAAAAGGAAACACAACAGCTGCAGCACAGGACGGGCAAGGGGATCATCTACCGAGTTACTCACAGAGGAAAAGGAATAGTAGTTACAGAGATAAGAGCAAGGAGAACCAACTGGACAAGAGGGAAATAAAAGAGAATGTTTTAACAAGAGACAATTATGTACATCTGCTTTGCAAAGGCTTTTAATGCTGGTAACCACAGTAGCTTATGCTAACTAATCAATTGCTGCATGAGCTTCCTGATATGCAGCGTGCTAAACGTAAGTTAAGAGATGCCAGACAACTTGGATGGTGACCAGAATCTGATGATTTTCAGTGTTCAGCTTGTTCAGACCTCACCAATAACCCTTAAAAAGTGATCAATGAACATAACCATCCTAAGGACACCAGCACAGGCTAACAATCATTGCATAGAAGCTGTTCCTAAGCAGAATGGGGGTGAGTATTGGCATGGGTAATGCGATTCGATACTTGGGTAACACGATACGATATCACGGTATTGCAATATTTTTTCCCAGCTATCAAAATTAAGTGTATTTTTTTTTTTAAAAAAGGAAAGGGATGTATGTGTCCATCAGATGATATTGATTGTTAAGTTATTTTGGAATACATGTTGTTTGGGGTTTAAGTGACGGCCTCAACTACAGATATGGCGCTGTGCCGCACAGCAAGAGGGCTCCACAGTGCTATCTGCCAGGGTGGCGGTGCAAAGGTAGCCCATTTTCCCTCATTGTTTTAGGTAAAAAATATATATATATTTTAATATATATATAACTACAAACTGAAAGATCGATATTATATTGGGCTTAAAGCTAGAGGGAGATAAGTTGTAGATAAGCTGTTGAAATGACTTTCTACCATTAACACTGTTAGAAAGAGAGGTGTGCAAGACATTCAGCAGGTAACAAGAGGGCTGGATGGAGACTGGATACCACAAGAGTGGCCCAGTTTTATCCTCTCTAATCCATGTGTGTTATTAAATATGAAATGTGACAGCTTCACATTTAAGTTTTTTTTCTATGAGGAAGGCAGCTACTGCATTTGTTTTGATATATCCAATCAAATCAACTGATTCCACTTTTTGTGATCAATTTTCTGGATTGAAACATGTGGGGGCGCCAGAACTCACTACACTACAGGACAGCAGGATATAATAAATTAAAGTTGTAGTGGAGGATTTTCATGATTTTTTAAAAAGATTTGCCATCGTCACCTAAAAAAAAAAAGCACATGCACAGATCTGTACCTGCCCATGAGAGGGAACGCCTATAAATCGTGTGCGAGAGCGTGCACAAGCCCATTTGTCCTCATGAACGCTCCGTTTAAAAGTTGCTGTTTGCATGGCTAATACAACCTTACTTTCCAAAAGAAGAGGTGTAATTTTTCCTCTATGTCAGTCTCACCACCGGTAGTGAAAATGGGGACGAGCACATTCGTATATCGCCGGAATGATTTAGGAGGACCAATCATTTTGATGATCCACTCGCTAAAAGAACATCCTTCACTATATCTTTAAGCCGATGGGTCAATATTTACTTCATCTTAACATAAATGAATGAACTTATCTTGATTTCAAAGAGTTTGTCACACTGTTCCTCCAGATGTTTAAGTTACATTTGATTTCCAACAAAGAGAAGAAAACAGAAATACACGACATGTTGTAGAAAATGTTTCAGTGAAGTTACATTTGCTCAAGGCAAGGCGGTCAGGCTCAACTAAATAACATTGGAAACATTACAACGTGATTTATGTGCACTATTGGTCCTGATAGATAAAATTAGTAGGTTAGAGTGAAGAAGTACTTCTCACATCATAAAAGTGAAGTTGTGCCACTTAAAGCATTAACAGGGGAAGAAAAACCGTGACTTTATTTACTGGCACATCAAAGCTGTACAAAAACTGAAGATCGAAAACTGGCCACCAG